ATTAGGGACCCTCCACCACTATGACGTATGGAGAAAATTTCAGGAGGCATGTTTTTGTTAGGCCAATATCGTTGGAAGCCATCAGGACCATTTAGATTGAATCTTTTCTCATTAGAAAACAGAACTTTCTTCTACTTCTTAATGTCCCATGTTTGGTATTCACGACCAAACCTTAAACTGTTCACTTTGTGACGTGGAAGCAGCCGAGGAATTTGTTTGCGCTTTTTATTTACCATGCCTTTTTGTCGTAAGTGTCGTCTGATGGTTACTGGACTGCAATCAGCATCTGTGGCTGCCTTAATTTGACTAGAAGAAAGTCCACTGGCTTTCACAACAACCCGTCTTATTCTCTTACACAATGCCGGAGAAATTTTGGGGGGCCTTCTACTTTGCGTTTCCATAATTCGCACTGTCCTTTAGAAAGTTGCAAATCACAGTTTTACTGCGATTTACCTTAGCTGCGATCGCCCGCTGTGACAAATTTTGACTATGGAAATCTAGAATTCGAGCACGCTCAACTTCGGTAAGTTTGCTTGCTTTAGGCATGGTGACACCTTTACGCAGTGATTGCTAATCTCTAACTGAACTAAAAACATTGGAATTACCCTAGATCTAACAATTTATACCCTTTGGTCTTATAATTTTGATCAAGTGTAAAACGCCTCATTTTATAAAAATGTCCATTTCTGAATAAATTGATCGGATTATAACTTTTTGTCTACATAACCTTTTAGATTATAGAATTAGTAATCTTAAGCAAGAAAAAGTTTATAATCCATGACAGTCTCTTATAAAAAATTTTTCAAGTGTTCTTAAATTTTTGATCAGGAGTGTATATCTGATAATCCTGTTACACAATCACTTGCAAATAATGATGAAAAGAAACAGAGGGAAACTGGGCGAGGAGTAATGGTTAGTTAGGCTGGCCTAGCAGACACTAATAAGTAGCGAGTTCGATCCACAGTGGGTGCTCCATACAAGAGAGAGAGATAGAGATATAGAGATAGAGATAGAGATATATATAGAGAGATAGAGAGAGAGAATATGACCAGCTGCCAGCTGACCCTAAGAAAAATATATGACCAACTGCTCAGAAATATCTGCGGATACAAACACACACGAAAAAACAAACATTCACGGATACAATTTTAAATTTAAATATGTTAACCTTGCGTCCAATGTATCAGTTGAACCCAAATTTTACACAGAGAGAAAGAGAGTGATCTGACAAGATACTGAATTTACCGCTTTCTGCGAGATTCTTGAAATTTTAGAGATCATAACTTTCCAATTACAAGAAAAGTTCTTTTAGTTCAATCAACACGACTGCCCAAAGTAGTGACTAAAGACCGAATTCATAAGTGTGTGTGTGTGTATTAAAGAGGTTACGTGCGAAGATTTTTATTTATTGTGCATACATCAAATAACTTGGTAATTTCATAACAAAAAAAAAAAACACTATCTAATCCACTTTTTTTTCGCGTTCCTTCATGACCGCTAACGTCGTAAACGAATGGTATTATTAATCTTTATTTATTTCATCTGATGTCATTTTAAGCATTACTCACTGAACGAACGTCTTAGCATGTATTGTATATCATTACTCATTAGGTATTTGAGTTAACTTTTTAGTGTTTGTTTGCATGGAAAACATCAATGGTGCACATGTAGACACTTGTGCTTATGTAGACAAATTATCAGATTTACAATTTGATTTACAGTTGTGCATAGATTATTAGGAGTGCACGCACATATCTCCCCATCTACACTGAATATTGCTGCCACAACTGGTTTGGTGCACCTGCTATATATCTAAAGATTGGGCTCCTCGAGGCGGTGTAATGGTTAGCAAGCTTGCCTCGCAAGAACAATTACGACTGAGTAGTGAGTTCGATCCTCACTGAGTGCCCTCTACTTTCGGCCTTGAGCCACATCTAAGCTATGCTTGGAAGAAAAAAAAAAAAAGGTAAATTTCCATTTTAACACCCGAGCGTCATTCACAGCTGAACTATTTTTTTTTAGAAATTAGTACGCGCTTCCGTAAAGCGATTTTTTTTTTTTTACTTAATTTAAGAAGAAAGTTAACTTTCAAATATATGTAAACATCGACAAATAAAAAAAAAAAAAAAGAATAACAAAAAAAAAAAATAATTTGAAAGTTAACTACAAGGAATTACTGTGAAGGAAGTAAATTGGCCCAAATTGTATACGTCCACCATCAAAATTCAGCACTGAATTACTTATCAATAAGCCGGTAATGGCTGACGAAAGACCAGGAAAAAGTCCGATTTTTTTTCGGGTCGTTAACATCCAAAAGGGTAGGTTTCTTCAATATCTAATTGTTGATTTGAGTTCAGCATATACATTTGCACGGAAATAAGACTATTTGGGAAAAATTTGAAGGGATATTAACGCTCGGATGTTAAAATGAAAATTTACCGAAAAAAAAAAAAAAAACAAAAACAAAAAAACAAACTATATATCTAAAGATTCTTGGTTAAATCCAAAGAAAATTTATCGGTCCTGATATCTCGATTTCAGTCACTCTCCCAACGGCGTAACGTAGCTTCCCTGTGTCTTTTTTTATAAATATTTTCATCGCAATTTTTCTACCTTGATTTCATTAGTTTAAGCGCAGTACTCGATTGCCAGCTAGGTCTCATCATTTTACTGTTGAAATAGCTTTATGTAACCATAAGTTCTATTCTGATAGTTTCTTCTCTCACACTTCACGTCTGTGGAACTTTCTTCCGGCTTCCTATCAAGTACAATCTAATTTTTTTTCTTTTTTAATGCATCTTCGATCGCCAGCTTCTGTCTTCTTCTTTTTTTTTTTTTAATCCCGTTCTTTTGTCCTCTCTAACGTTTTCCAATTTTCTTTCACTCTCAGTGCTTTTATGGCCTTGCCTGGGGTGAATTTGATTGGAAAAATATATATATATATATTTCTCCGCTATTGTTTAGAAAAAAGCAACAGTCCCCAGTCCCCGCCCCCTTCCCCGATATCTTACAAATGGCTTCTAGGTTCCTTTACCCTTTCTTTCGTTTTAACTGAATCATTTGGAAAGGGATTTTTAGACTTCAATATTCATTATTAAAAAAAAAAAAAAAATGTTTTTGTTGACGAAATCCTACGACTCAGTCTTCTGAAATTATTTTTATCGATTATTACGATTATTAAGACATGCATAAAGCGTGATTTGCTGACTCATCAAAATCAGCAAAAATGCAAAATAAAAAAAAAATAAGCTAAGCGAAGCCTCTCGAGGTGTAACGCATAACGAATTTCAATTGAATTTATAATGATTTTTTTTTTTTTTTAATGTGTGTGTGTTTTATTTTTTTTTACTTACGACCTGCTTAGCAGACGAGACTGAAAATTATATTTCTCGGAACTGGAAATCGATCGGATAAAAAGCTAAAAAATTACTAATTCTTTAAAAAAAATTAATAAATAAAAAGAATCTTTTTTTTTTTTTTTTTCAAAAAAATGCCTATCGTTTCATGCGCTGAACATTAGAGTTTAACTTTTTAAAAATACCTTCGATTAACATCCGCAACCACACATGGTAAGTAAGGGCACCGTTCAAGATATTGTTGGAAGAGTATAAACGTTACAATTAAATAAATAAATAAATAAATAAAAACCCGAACGGAGATGCTGTGTTAAGTTTCATAAATATTAGACTTGGAAGTAAACACATCCACGGCGCTAGGAGAAGGTCTGAAGCCCCCCCCCTCCTGCAACTGTTTACTGAATGTGAGAATTACATTCAAGTCTAAATTTGTCCTCAATGTACGACCATGCTAGTGAGCCGAGCTGTATCATTGACATCAATCTTCATTTTCAATTTTTTTTCGAAACATTAGCTAGCAGCTTCTAAAACTTTTATCAGTCTCATAATGCGGGAAAAAAGTCTACATTTATAACGCCAGAAAATAAGTACAAGAAAAAAAAGTAAACAAAAAACATTGTCGTGAAAAGGCCCAGATAAAATAAAAAAAAAAAGAAATCAGGAAACTTTAAAAAAAGTAAAAAACTTATCTGATTTTTAGCACGTCCACTTTTAACATCAGATTTACTTAGATAACTGTTTAGCTGCTCATTAATTAAAAGTGGGGGGCAGCTTGTACAAGTGAACTAAAAATCATAGGCACGTCTTTAAATTAAAAGAAATATTACCTAAACAAAAAAAAAAAAAACACACAAAGAAACCACGTGCAGATTCCATGACGTGGCAAAAGATTTTTTTTGATTGATTTTCTTTATTTTAATTTAAGATTTTTTTTTTTTTTTTGCTGGTGGGTGTTGGAGTGGATTTTTTTTTGTTTAAACTAAAATAACGAAATAAAAATAGAACTAAAAAGTTACTAAACCCAATACCTGATGACACAAACTCCCAATAAAACATTTAATAAAGATAAGTAAATAAGAGTTAATTTAAAAAAATAAATCCAACAAATCACTTGCAAGCAAAAACTTTTTATCATTTTTTTTTTGTATAAAGAAAATTAAATAAACTAAACAAGATATTACAAAGGAAAAAAAGAAAAAGTTGTCTAACTTACCAAAATTTGTCCCAGTGACAGAGCGAGAAGTATTTTTTTCTTTCTTCTCCCAACAGTTCTGGCAAAAAAAAAAAAGAAGTAGTGGCGTTTTTGCTGTCACAAGTTGAAAAAAGATGAAATTTGTCCGATAAGTGAAATTAAAATATGTTTTTATACTTTGTTGATAGACTGCTCAGTGGCCTTTGTTTATTTAAAACAACAAGAAATCTTTGACCCGGCCACCGTTGCCTTTTAGAATTTTTGTATATACACAATTTTTTTTTTTCTCTTTTCTATTTTCTTTTGCTTACTTTATTAAGCCTGGCTTTTTGAGAAGCCGGATTTTGCTCAATTACAATAACTTGATAGACATCGGATTTTTGTGATTTTGGTAAAGCTTTACGGCAGTAACCCAAGACCCTCCTTCGGTCCGTGCTTTTGAAAATGACTTCATGCTTCTCATTCGGGGGAAATCCAACAGAATAGTTACGTACCTCCTACATATCAGATTCTCCTCCTTCACCTCTTATTCTTTCTGTTCTCACTTTTTAAGCCTCTCTATGTTCTTTGACATTACCGTCCTTACTTTTCTTTCACTGTTTAAACTTAATACTAGACAAGGTTACATGCGATGTAAGAAAATTATAATTCGAAATTCTAGCTTTTACCTGGACCCGAACACCGACCAAGTTTGTTCCTTCCTTCTTTCTTCATTTCTTGTTTATCTATCTCATTTATTTTCACATCTATCTGTCTATCTCAGTTATTTTCACATCTATCTATCTCTCTCAGTTATTTTCACATCTATCTATCTATCTATCTCTCTCAGTTATTTTCACATCTATCTATCTCTCTCAGTTATTTTTACATCTATCTATCTCTCTCAGTTATTTTCACATCTATCTATCTCTCTCAGTTATTTTCACATCTATCTATCTATCTATCTCTCTCTCTCAGTTATTTTCACATCTATCTATCTATCTATCTCTCTCAGTTATTTTCATCTATCTATCTATCTATCTCTCTCAGTTATTTTCACATCTATCTATCTATCTATCTATCTATCTCTCTCAGTTATTTTCACATCTATCTATCTATCTATCTCTCTCAGTTGGACTGTTTATTTATCTATCTATCTATCTATCTATCTCTCTCAGTTGCACTGTTTATTTATCTGTCTATCTATCTATCTATCTCTCTCAGTTGGACTGTTTATTTATCTGTCTATCTATCTATCTATCTCTCTCAGTTATTTATCTATCTATCTATCTATCTATCTCTCTCTCAGTTATTTTCACATCTATCTATCTGTCTGTTTCAGTTATTTTCATCTATTTCTATCTTATGTATGTATGTCTCAGTTATTTTCATATCTATCTGTTTTTCTATATCTATCTGTATGCATGTCTATTTATCCATATGTCTCTGCATGCATGCATGGATATCTATCTATCCTTTTGAAACTTGTCTTTCTCTTAATCTTTTTTCTTTTATTTGCCTGTCGGCTAAAAGCACCTTCCCCACCTCCACCATTCTTTCCCACTCTTCACTTTCACTCTCACTCTCTTTCCTACACTGTTTAAATCACGACTCTTCCCAACACCATTTCTCTCTATTTCTTTTCCTCCTCCTCCTCCTACCTTTACTATTTTTGTCAGACAAACACTCCTACTTCGCTTGACTCACTTTAATATTTTCCCTCTCTATAGGTTTTATTACTTGCCCCTTTTCTTTCTTCTGCAGGCATATTATACAAGTTCTTCACTGACTGGGAAGGGCTAGAATCAGACGTCATTTTGCCGGCAAGTTTGCCATATGTATATACATGCCTAAAGTTCTTCAAAATCTTTGTGTGCAGCATATTATTATCCGGCTTATAAAATACACGCACATACTCCGGTTACTGGGATAATTAAGGAAAATGCTCGTATTCGCCCCTGTTAAGCGGTTGTTCTGGTTTCTATGAGAATCAAAGTAAAAACAATAAACCTCAATTTTATTAAAATTGACATTTAAATTTTTTTTTTTTTTTGCTACATGTTACCCTGGTACGTACTAAAATTTTTAACATTTCCCCCCCTTTTTAATCCCCTTAAAATTAATTTCAGAACGAAATGTTGCGTTTCTTTTTACATACGGAGCCACTGTAATTTTTTTTTTAATGCCGTTTAAAAAGTTTTGACGAGTGTACACTGTACAGTACTCTAAGGTATATGCTCTTTTTAAAATATGAACAAAATCAGTACCTGCATTCTAAGACACGCTGTTTTGTACCCGTGGTATAAGTTAGGCTGGGTGAATTCATACAACCCACCTCAACCACGGATATAAAATGGGCTTGACTAGATTCGCCCACTCCGAGGTCAGAATATACATTCACGTTTACCTATGTAAGATGAATATTATTAATTGTATCCACAGATGATTTTAGGGATCAGTAGTGCCACGCCTACATAAATTTCTTATGTGCATTCTACATCTCTCAATCTTATTCCGATTCCCTTTTTTTTTTCTTTTGTTTTTAATCGGTATCACCCCATGTAAGGCAGTAAAGCCACTAAGACGCAAGGGGTTACAGGGTGTGGAAGAATTACGAAGAGAAACATTAATAATGAGCGGGAAGAGAAAAGAATAATCAGGAGGACAGTGGATAGCGATTGACATTGCATTTAAATTTTTGCATATTAAAGTTGGCTGGGAAGCATGGAACCACAAATGAGAAGTGCGAGAAAAGAAACTGTTAGCGTAGAACTTACGGTTAAATCTAACCAGCTCATCTGTAAATTGATGAGATCTCGACGCCAGTCTAGTACTGCGCTTAAATTCAAAAAGTCTAGGTACCGTAGTGAAGAGCGATATTTATTCTGCTTAATACAGAAATGTGGCACAAGGCCGAAAAGAGGATTGGGGAAAGGACGGTCTTCTTCTGTCTTAACTATAACTAAGCTAGCCGCAAACACTGGCCCAATCTTACGAAACAATATTCCTTGCACCAAAACAACACATTCATTCGTATCTTTCTTACTACAACCACCATAATACTTCTTTGTCTCTATGAAAATACTAACTAGTCCCCATATTTACAATTCGTTGTCTGTGGGGGGGGGAATAAAACAACAATTCTAAAATTTAACCCCAATGAGTATTTACAATATGCATACCGTAGTGAAGAGCTCATCTGGACAATTACCATGAAGGTATTTATAGAAAAGACACAGAGAGGCAGCCTTACGGCAATGGGAAAGTGACTGATGTCGAGCCGCCAGATCAGGACCAATAATATTGCCGATTCTTCTTTGGATTTTATCAAGAAGCCCAAGGTAAATAGCAGGGGCACCGGGCTATATGTGGCAGCAATATTCTAAGTATGGACGAATAGTAGACTTATAGATATGTAAGATAGATTCTGGAGATAAAAATTGTCTCGCACGACACTGAACTAACTTTCTTAGCAGCTGACCTAACAATGGATACAATATAGTCTTTTCACTTTATGTCAGTTCAGAAAATTAACAACGAGAAGGCGCAACGAGTCGTCACTTTCCATGCTGATGGAAGGTAGAGAGGCGTCTCTCAAATGATTAATGGAGAGAAGTTTAGTTTTAGAAGCTTTAAAATCAACAAGCTGTCTTTTACCCCAATTAACGACGGACTTTTAGACATCGGTTGCCATTTTGATCTTGTTGTACTGATCACCCATACTACTGAGACAGGAATAAATGGTTGTATCATCAGCGTAGATACCAAATTGAGAGCTGGTGTTATCGGGAAGGTCGTTAATGAAAATTAAAAACAGTGTAGGACCAAGGTGGAGCTCTGGGGGGTCACCCGCTTTAGTACGAAAGGATCCAGACGAGTGGCCTTCTAGGTTAACCATTATTTCGCGATTTGATAGGAAAGACTGGATCAGTTCAAAAATGTTTCCAGGGGCAACGTTAGTTTGCGTATTAGTAAGTCTGACTTCTGAGTAGCTATTATGTCCGATAAAAACATGATAAGCTAGCAATTCAAAGATGAAGAAATATAAGCTTTTATTGTGAACCAGTTTGAATACGTTAGAGAACTCGTGAATTTAACCCTACAGCTGATTGGTTTCTTTTCAGAATCAGGTCGGATTACTGTTGAATAAATTCATACCAGCCATGATTACCAGTTTGGAGCCATTATAGTCCCCCGTATTCGCCGGGGTTAGGGACCAGAACCGACCGCGAATAGTTAGAATCCTCGAATACTTGTAACCCCACTAAAAAGTGCTTATATGTACCTTGTTAAAACCCCATATGCCTTAAACTTTCATCCTAAATACTTGAGAAACGTTTCAGACCCTTTTAAAAACATTTTTGAAAAATAGTATTGGTGACCATACACTTCGCGTAATTTTTTTTCATACGTACAATAACCGTTTTTAATTACGCATAGATCGATACAACAATTGAAAATACTGTATAAAATACGTGTAACAAGACATAAAATATAAAGTCTAAAACATTTTCTAAAAACAGAACTGTGATGATGCCCCCAAACTTAGTATAAGCCACTTTTAAGACCCTAGCTGCAGCTCCTAACAAAAAAACAATGCCCATGCACTATGCATGTTTTAGCGTTTATTTTTTACAATGAAGATGTACAATTCTCCCAATTTTTACCATAACAATGGACTGTTATGTTTTAAGTCACTTAAATAACAGAAAAATAATACAATAATATTTTAATTATATTCTATCGAAAAAATACGCGAATCGAGGGAAAAATTGGCAAATGTGTGAAGCCGCGAATGCTGAAACGCTAATAGACGGGGGCTCACTGTATTGCTTTTTCTGTGAACGAACTACCCCAAAGTCTTAAACTCAACTAAAAACTATTTTGACTCCTTTTGAATTCACACACACACACACACACACACACATATATATATATATATATTTAACAGGCATACCCATATTTATTTTTATTTTATTATTGTTTTGGAATTGAGACGTTCAAATTTTTAAAATAAAAACCTGAGCAGTTGGATTTCCTATACTATCAATAATTTTCTCTCTCTCTCTCTCTCTCTCTCTCTCTCTATCTATATATATATATATATATATATATATATATATATATATATATATATATATATATATATATATATATATATATATATATTCCTATACTATCAATAATATATTCTAGTTTAGAAGAACAGTTGTTGATACTATTAATAAAGGGGGCATAAACTGGATTTGTGGAGTATAGTTTAGACTAGTCTATACTATTTCTCGGGGTATGAAGTAGGCAAGTCGCAATCATAGCTCTGCTGTTATTCTGGACTAGTCTAAACTATACCTGGGTAAATTCTAGGAGGTGGGATCTGGATTGTTATTACCGTATTTTCTGAAGATGATGAACCGCCTTCATTTTCTTTTCCTTTTTCTTTTTTTTTTTAATCATCTCATCCCAAACAATGCAA